ATAACCGCTCTTGTAACATCTCTCATGAATTCTGCTCAACAATTTCAGCAACAAGCTGCAGGTTTGCCATATCATTTACTCCACATGTTTATTACCATAATTTATTTTAGCGACTAACTGGTCACAAATATATAATCAGTATCTGTATCTAAACATGTATATATATACATTAAAAAACTTTGCAGCTAATGCAGCAGCTGCTGCTATGAACAATAGTGCACAGACTACAAATAAGTCAAACAACGCTGCGATTCTTAGTTTATTAAATAGTAGTCCTGCCAATTTAACGCAGCAAAAAGTTCAACCGCGAAGGATCTCCTTGAATGCTTCCATCCCATCTAGAGTTCTTAGTCATGGAAATGTTATTAATGTTCCAAACACCTCTGGCCAGGTAAATAAATAAACGTTGTACGTAACTGTGTATGAAATTATCGTATAATTTCAATAAATGTGTGTTTTCAGGTAAGGGTGAGTTTAAGTTCAGCTTTAACAGGACAGTTGGGCTGTAAGCAGCAACCGGTAAAAGCAACAGCTGTAAGATTAGCTCGGGTACAGGATCCCACTTCAACCCTGGGATTATCCATGCCAGGGTTGTCAGCTTTATTAGCAGGTACGACGTATAGAAATGTATACAAGTTATCAATTACAATTGATTAGTTGAAATTTCAAATATTTTCTTTGATCTTAACAGGGTCGCCGTCTGCGGATAATCCAATACCAGCAATTAACTCCGGTTCCTCCTTACTCGAACGATTAACAGCTTCTTCCAGTCAGAATAATCAGTCCACGAATCCAATGACCACACCGCAATCGACTAACGTAAACTTGCAAGGCGTAAATCTTACTAGTCTGCCAAACTCGATCAACGGTCTTCAAAATGTTCAGGTTGTGGAGAGCTGCTTATTTCTACATATGGCCTAGAAGATGAAATACTACTGTACTATTCCGTTGTACGACAGGTATCATTTCCCGGATTATCACAGCCTATTACGATGTCACTAAATGTGTCAGCGACGACGGGTTCTGTTACACCTACAGGAGTCATTGTTTCCCTGCCTATATCGTCTGCAACCAATACTTGCACCACGGTTTCTAGTGTTAGTTTTCTTTCAATTTCACGCGTTTGCACGTTGCGATCGGTGTTCAGGTTGACTGAGAAATTCATTAATAAAATATACCGTTTTCGTAGATGGTAGCCACGACAGTTGTTACCACGGCCATTGCTGGAAGTACACCAACGGTAGTAATAGCTAATCCTGCCAATACTCATTTGTCACTACCTATCGGTAAGATTATAAAATATGTAATCATAAGATAATTCAGTGTATTTCTACGCACGTATGTGTGTGTGTGTGTGTGTGTGTGTTGCAGCCCAGATAATACCTTCTGGAGTTAAAGGGCTGTCGCAACAGAATATACGTAGCAGTAATTCAGTCACTCTTTCACAGGTAATCTAATTAGAAATTTCTTCATTTGCATTTCGTGTTTATGGTGGGGGTAAATAAATATTTTTTAGGGTGGACAGGCTATTCAACTTGTTGGATCTCAAAGGCCAAGACTTAATCATATGACCCGTCAAGTACAACCAAATCAAGTTAAGTCCACTGTTTTGCCAAATCAGTTAGTAACCGTGGCTAAAACAGTGACGGCAAGTCAGTTAATATTATCTGGTAACAAACAGGTGTTAACTCCTATAATGGGTAAGTTACCGTGAGAACTGTACAACAGTATATATATATATAACGTGTCCTAATAACACGAAGAAACCAGATAGGGTAGACATTTTTGTTTCTATAGATTCGTTTTGTTATTGACATAATGAATATTTAAAAATCAATAGTATATATTCTTTTTATAACATCTTTCGTTTAAGAGAAAACAAAATGAAAATTCTTTTCAATGAACCGACATATATGAAAGATAACATACTTTATAGCAGCAACGAAACCAGTGCTTATGGCGTCTCAGACGACACCTTCTTCCCAAGTAGTACCTGCAAATAAACAAACTTTACTGACAAAATCCTTGCATGCTAGAGCTTCTACAGGGCAGTGCAGTCAGCAAACCCAGAGCCTTGGAGTGGCGACACTAACACAGCAACAAGTACGGAACATGAAATATATATTTTTCATTTCAATATATAATAAATACACCTGGCCCTCGATATACGCGATTCATTTTAACAAAATCGTGTAAATAGAATCTGTCGGTACAAGAGAAAACAAAGTATTGGAAAGAAAAGGTGGTATAAATTTTAGAAAAACATATTTATTTCACATAGCCCAACAAAAGAAATAATAATAATGACATTTCAGAAGACAAAAGTACATTTTATTTGGCGTTATTAAATTCAGATCACGCATAAAATCCATCCCGTAAATCGACGGTTAGGTGTAACTTGTTTCTGTATACAAAATTCTTATATTATTTATATTTTTTAGTTACAGAGAACTCTCGTTAAACCTGTACAGCTCGTTAAACCCGTACAGCAGTTGCAATGTTTAGCTGCGCAACACAAAGTCGCTGTTGCAACGGGAACTGCGCAAAATAGAACTCAAATTGAGCCTCAAAGAAATTCTACATCTGCCCCAGGGGATGACTCAGCCTGAACATGTTCAAATAATTAATAATGTCTCACATTACATTGAAATAATTGGAGCCTGCCAAGAAGGAATGTAATGAGGTGTTTCTGTATATTAGGTTAACGCGGAGATTTGACATTTTAATTATGCATGCAATTATAATTGTAAATTATAAAATTTTTATTCATGACCGATCGATGTTTATCAGCGACGACATATTTTATAAAATCAAGCGTAGATACATACTTTGTGCGCATGTGCAATAAATTATTTCTACAAAAAAAAGAAGAAGAAGAAGGGAAGAACATTATGCCTCGAAATATTACTTTGAGGACGGTTTCAATTATTGTATATATATAACTTATACATACGATTTGTTTTATATTAAAAAATGTAATAAATATTCCATTTTTTATTCGTCTTTACCCTTTTCATGTGATTGCTAGGTGTGGTTGAAAGAGGCAGTACAAGTCATGAAAATGATTAAATTAATAACTGCTTATCTTATGCTCAATGGTTCCAAACATTGAAGAATAATTGAATGATTGGATTTAATATTTTTATTAGCTTAAAATACTCCAGATTTTAACAGACTGTGTATTCAATTAGCTAATTCCAGTAATTTTTTAAAAATACAAATACTGAAACAGCTTTTAAGATAACTTTCTAATGTTCACAATAAATAATCAATGTTAGTCGTGAATTTGAAAGTTACAATAAAGTTTAATTTACAACTAAGTAACAGTCTAAAATAGCATGAATGGATAATGTCAAGAAATACCATAAATAAATTAAAATACAAAAAATCTTTCGTGCTAAGTAATTCTGAATTAAAATTATATACATTCTTCAATCTTATAAGGTAATGTTTATATGTATAAACAAGTCATTGAAATTAACAATTTGTTCATTAAATTTTTTCTAAATCGGTATATTAATTATATAACAGGCACAAATGCGTAGCATTTTAAAATAATGTTTATGCCATGTTACTATCTGTAATGTGTTATTTATAAAAATAATTTACTAAAACATTATATACATAAATTGTGCTTTGTAACAATTACTGCTAGAAGCCTTTTATCATACAACAGTATTTAGTACTCTATATTTTTGATTCGTAAGCGATGACCTGTCCTTTAATCGTAATTTATTAATACGACGTAAGTAAGTCATCCTTTTTAACATTCATCCACGTCAGAAATAAACAATATAAAAACTTTGTATGTTAATTGGCATTCAGTTCCAGCTGTATGCGATCACAATCTTTTTTTCTTAGCTTAATTTAAATAACTAATTTTATCGTTCCCTTGAGCATTTATCACAACATGTAATTGTACAAACCGTTTGATAACAATTCATTTATGTATAAAAGTACTTACACAGTATAATTAATTATTGTTCTTTACATTAAAACTGTGATAACGACATAACTTAACAAAACTGGAAATAATAACTTGCTTAATAACAGATATTTTATATTTTTAAACAAAATTTGTTCCATATATTAATCTTTAAATAATAAACTCAATGCGGAATTAGACCAAAAAAACAAATTTCCATTTTACAATATATACATTGTCTTTATAGTCAGTCTATTTTTTGAGAGATCTACCACCACTTGCTTTGCAAGCATTTCATAACAACGATAAACTTTCTCTAATAGAATTCATTAATAATAATACGTGTAATATCCGTTAAAGATACTTTTACGTCGCATCAATGCACGTGACCCGTATCTTATATTTACCAGCGTATAACACGATTATAAATTATTTCTTTAAAATACAATTGTGCATATACCTTTGATCTTTTCATGTACCTACGTTTATCAGAGTTTATACAAAAATATCAACGTTGAAAAACGGTAATAAATGTTACTAACGCGATATTATTGACTATGAAAGTATGTAAATACTTCGTAAAGTAAGAAAGGCTAAGACTACGATATACATATATATATATATACACATTTTTTATCTGAATAATCGCGAAAAGAATTAGTTATCTTAGACACTTAACGATGGTTGATCCACTTCTGGCCTGCTATCTGGAGGACTGGAAACTTGTACTGTTTGTGGATCTTTACTAACTGCCCACTCACTCTCTGTATCCGAAGAAATATTTGACACTCCTAGAATATCGTCTTCTAGGGATATATCTGATAAGTCTTCCATACTCTGTTGATTTCCATCAGTATACAGAGACTCCGTAACAACTGAAACAGAATAACAAACGTTTCACAATTCCGTTATAATAATATGATTAATTATTCTAACGTGTTACCATTATTAAGTGTATGTTCAGATAACCATGTTGGTTCATCCCATTCATCGAACTGTAACTTTTTATTATTCTCGACTTCATCTATCGATAACATTGCACGTGACTCTGACTCCGTAACATCAAATATCTCTGTTACTTGTACTTTGTTATTGTCATCCATATAATAATATGCCATAACTGCTTCTTGATCCGAAGTTACCTATCAACATTCATTTTTATAACAATCATTACCGTTCAGACTTCAGTGTAAAAGGTAATCGGTGAAATGTTTAAAACGTACCTGAAGAATATTTTCTAAAGTATCATCAACCGTTGAAAGGTCCGACATATTTATAACACATTTTGATTTATTAGTGTGATCGTTCCATGGTTGTCTAGAAAGAACGAACAATATATGTAATGTTTGGCGAGTTAAACAGACACGGCTATTAAATATTAATAGGCTTACATTTCATTGTATTGCAGAGTTAAATTTAGATTCTTCTGATTTTTGTACACGCTATCAGTCTCATCTACTGCTTCCATACTGTAGATGTCTAACACATTTTAAAAGTTCGGTTATACACGTACATGACATTCGATTTTTCCATTAGCTCATTTTCGTGCAAATAATTACACTTACTTGATCCATATTCTGTGAAAGCCAAGTGACACTTAATGGTTTGTGGAACTTGTTGGTAATATATGTTGATTTTAGGAAATAACATACTCAATTGTTCCAAGAAAAATGTTCTTAATTCTAACAAGTTTCTTCGTAATTTAGGAACATTTAAGATGAACCTGAAAATAATATTGAATTCCTTAAAAAATTGTTATGAAACGTATACTTATTAAAAAAAAGTGGTATATACAGTGAACTGTAACTTCCTACATTAGAATGTAAACAAGCATGCTCCTGACCATGAAAATACGTGCATGAATGCATGAGTGTAAGTAATGTAAATGTGTTAGTAAGAGAAGCGTGCATTTCGATTGTCTTTCTTTCTAGCTGTAAAATTAAATTAAAATCGTTTACACGAGAAACCAGATGCAAAACTTGTGCTTACCGAGATGCCTTATGCCTAGAACAAGAAATTGTCTGCACGGGTCTATGAAGTATGTTTCCCACTACTTTGTATTCCAAGGTGCGAGTATCTATGTTGTTACCAATCAAACTATGATCACATGCATAATATTAAGTACATTGTATTGAAACTAATGATTATATATATGTCATCAGAACTCTGATTACTCCAAAGAGTGCAATGATTAATTGAAAATAATTGTTAGTTATCCCAATTGCATGCAACTCTAAGTGAGTAATGATACAGGCTTGTTAGTTTGTTATGTGACAACAAAGCATATATATAATATACGTATTAAAATATTACATAAGAACTCTAAATACTGATTAAATATATACATATATAAACAAATGCTTACTTTGTAAAAGTTGCATACACTACATCTGCAGGTAAAGTGTATGGTAAACTAAGTAACGATAAGAGTTTTACGCTTCGATGTTTGAATAACCAATTAATAAGACCTTTATTGGCAGAATCGATTGCATCTTGGAATATGGTCATAACTGTTTCAGGTAACTTAGATACTAATGCTTCCTGAAATACAAGTCTGTGGAATTAGTTCGTTCGTTTTAAATGTAATTATATGTAATACTTCAATTTATACCTGTCTATGCATTTTACATTCTACACATTCAGGATCGTAATCCATATTATCATCAAGGGTTTCAGAGACGACGAATGTAGACTGCACAGCCAAACATCGAGTACAATTAAGTAAATTATTACGATGTAAAAATCTTAACGCGTCATCAAATCCTTGCTTGCACATATTCGAAAGTATCTGGAAAACGCATTATTTATAAAAATATTGAAGACTTGGATATCCTTTTGCTTTACAAACGAAATAATGATAATTACCTCTGGATTAGGTGGAAAGAGTATTCTTGCAAACCTATATATATTTTGCCTTGATAGTTCTATACTAGTATTTGCAAAATTTACCTGAAAATTATAAACATTCATTACGTTGTAATTGATTAATATTTAAAACACAAAAATTGCAACTTTATTCTGTTCAGATAAATAAACTTACATGAAACAATTGGGAAGACACATCTCTTGGACAGATGTCACTTTCACCACAGAAGGGACTAACGGTAATTGTATTTTCATCAAGTGTAGGAAGATTATCGCTAAAACCGCCATCCATATATCTAATACCATGAAACCTTGGTGGAAAAAGACCAGAAAAAAATGGAATAAATGCACTTGCTAGTAATGCCTGTAAAAAGAAAGTTTTGTTACACATCTATCATTATTATTATTGATAAATATTCATTTCATTTGATTTAATTAAACTATTATTCTGATAAGAATTGACGACACTTGAATAAATAATGATCATAAAAATGTGTACACCTAGGAGGTCATTCATTTACCTGTAATAAGTCTTCTCTAGAAGAGAACTGTGACACAATTACATTTTTTCCATCGTATACCCTCGTCAAGGAGATATGAAGTTTACCGCTGACTCGAATGTGAGCGTCATTGGGAAGGAACTATGGAAAAGATAAGAGAACACAACTGTTTAGTTTCGATACTTATTTTCAAAAATAAAAATCCCTTCATTCAAAGAAAAACAATTTTTCAACGACTCTATACGTACCTTTTGCAAGCTTTCTAACAATATTGCTTGTACATTGAAGGATGGACTGAACGGGCCAAGAGTGCGTTGCCGCGCTTCACGTGCTACCCGCAATACATTACTGGTCATTTCCCCTGGAAAAATATGCATTCATATAATTTCTATCGCATTAATAAATTAAAAAATTGTAATTACTAAATTTCAAGACCGCAACACAGTTGAATTTTAATAAACATTCCAGACTTATGTACATGATAATCCTAAACTATTAAATATATAGATCTCATCAAGTATAGTATTTACGGTAAAATAATATTTCAAACTTTATTTTTTAATCGCCAAGAAAACATTTGAAATACATATTTCAAGTACAACTAAAATATTTCGTTTGTCGAAATTTCGATTTAACAGATTATTTCAGCGAGTCTTGTTTACATGTGTGCACACACAAATTATCTGACAACGTAACGGATTCTAATCTATTCGCGGATTAGCTGAAAAAGGACGATAAGCATCTCGTTAAGGATCACGGGCGGGGTACTGGAATTCCGTGAAGATAAAACCGTTCCAGTGGAAGGAGTCATGGACGCTGGAAGGTCATTTTATCTATTTCAGTAAATCTCGTTTTTCGTTCGATAGTGGACAGAAAATGTATAATGAGACAAAGAATAACGGTATCTCCGTGCGATTTCGAAACGGAACCGTGTTTACATTTTACACTGTCCTTCCGTATAGACTCGCACAAATGACTGCATCGCGTTCTTTACTTCTGCATTTCTCTCTTCCTCGCGCGCAACTGTAAACACATTGAAGAAGCTATTGTTATTTAACCCTTTGCACTCCAGGTTGTTTTGCAATCTATCAGCAACTGCAACTAATTTTTATAGCATTCCTAACGAAAATGAGAAATGCAACATTTCTTCGATTTTCTATTTTCCTTGTTAGTACAAAATTTTGATGTGTGGAAAATCGGATAATTTTAGAGTAGTTTCTGTAAGGTTCATTAAAATATTCAATATTATAACTGGTGCAATATTGGAGCCTACAGCTCTGTCACCATTTCATGTGATACAACAAAATTACAAAATGCTACATACGACATTCAGTTTCGTCTAATGCACCAATGGTAAATATTTATGTAAAATAGCTTTATTTCTTAATGGACGTATGTTTCCTCATTAGTTGGTTTCAGATAACGTCTATGTCTCATCGGAAAGTGTCGAATGTTTCTAGTGAAAACCTGCCAAGTGCAACAGGTCAATGACGAAAAATAAACAAGATTTGTTCAAATAGAAAATATTATTCAACTTGTTCCGCTTGTTATCGACGGTGGTATTTTGTTGTAAACGCTAAGCTATGTCATTTTCGTCGGACCACAATGGAAGATTCATGTGTTCGTAAAATGATTTCATAAAAATAATATTTAATTCGGTATTCGATGAAAACGGTACGTATCGTTCGTTATTTATTGATTTTGTCAATCCGATCGAAACGATATCTTGCGAAAACAATTGGTTAATGTTTAGATGCGCGTCGGGTATATACATGCGTACAGGCTTATCGTTTATCGCACGAGTGAGTATTGCCTTCCTACAAAAACAAACATTCCTTTGTTTAATTTAGATACAACGGTTTCATCTATCGTTGCCTGTGCCCCGAAACTAAACGCAATGAGTTTATCTTGCTCTCGAGTATTTAATATAGGTAATGAAAATAGAAGAATATTGTAAAAGTACACGTCGAAAATGATTCTTTCGGATAAGAAGATTAACGAACAACGGATTTCAATTTATCTGTTTTACCACCTGCATTTTGTATCGTCGTATCGCGATCGCCATCTGCAATATCAATATCGAAGACTTTAACCTCCTTATCGACAAATGGTATCAGATAACACAGAAACCGAGCGAGAAAAATACATTTTTTATTGTACAATAATTGGCATTGTACTCTGACGAAACATTTATAATTAACGTTATCTTTTATATTTCTCAAGAGAACAGAATCTCTCAACAATGTACTTTTAAACTATGCTACTGATATTTTATCTAGTGACACATATTAAACCGTGTCAAAATGAGTGCGAGGATGGAGCACGCTAGTAGCTCTCGAAAAAGCCTGGTTTTAGTGCGCCAGATGGGGGAAACAGCGTCCGACCCCACTTATCTTCGAAACAAGTACAACATCCGCAACAGATGTGCAAATTGTTTATTTTAAATAAGAAGATACAGATGGCAAACGAACATTTTTTCATTCCTTTTCCCATTCCTCGACTTTTTATATTATTCAATAAAAATTTCAGTGAAAAAAGAAGTCAAATTCCATTTATTTTTGACGATGAACGTAAATCTCTGAACAACTTACTAGAATGTTCCAGGTCACTCCGAGGATTGGATAACCGTTATCATGATGCATTCCTCGACATAGGCATTTTGAAAACCCAAGACGAAGATAAACACTCGAGTGGAATTTAAATAAGGCGGAAAATCGATTTGTATTGTTCATAAACCTAATGATTCGTTAAATTCACATTTGTCGCTCTGAGTTGTTTAAACTTACGCTGTTAGAAAGTTTTGTAAATTGAACATAGAACAGGCTTGATAATGATGGAGAACGACACAGCAGAGAATATGTAGGTCAAATCTAACGCGCATTGCATATCTCATTTTCAACATGTTGCTTTTTCCTACCGGTTATGATGAATAACATCCGGTGTAGGAGTTTGTTTTCCTTCTTATTTCTGAAGCATGTGTACACACGGAGATGTTTTCTTAACGATGCAAACTCACGAGTGTGTACCATGACTTAGTGGCACGAGTCTGATCTTATTCTCAAACGAATTGTTTCGAACGAGTAACGGCCAATTATGGGACTGTTGCGTCATAGATTATGCACGCGATTACAAGGCGGTATTGTGTTGCGATTATAACAACTGTAGCCGGGATAGCATTTTTCTTTTTTAATGGCACGTGCATTCGACTATATTTATATGTTTGTACATAGAAATGAGACACGATACAATACGATCAGCGGTCATTATTAGAACCTCGCAGCTGCCCGACATTAAACATTTCATTTCGGTCGATCGAGAATATCGATTGTCGCGAAATTTATACGTTATCGTCGTGTTAAGAAAGATCGATCCTTTCGAAAATAATAAACTCATTTCTCACAGATATGTCAAAATCATTAAGCCCGTCGATACAAAAACAGTGATAAGGTTCAACTTGGTTGGTTCGTATCTCGTTGAATCAGTGTTCAGAAAAGATAACACAATTCTGTTGTAACCCCTCGAATCCCTATTTCCATACGCGTACCTACGCGTAGGTAATGAGAAATGATTTGTGTTTCCGACCTTGACTAGTTCAAAGCAACGTAAACAAGCGAGCGCGCGTACCGTTCGATGCACGCCCCGTCGGCAGAATATTCATTTTCACGAAGGTACATATATTAAATATACTTTTTCAGATTCGAGAAAGTATTTTTGCATTATCCTCGAACGACAACGACAAAATGAAGGAAAAAACAATGAGAATAATTTATTGCTGAAACAACGTGCATCCCTCTTTCACTGGAACTGATAAACTATTATCAACATAAAAAAGGTCCGTGTAGTGCGTAGTTGCCCGTGCCAGTATGACTATTGTAATTGCTCATATTGTGTTTATACATTTGTTAACAGTCTTACTCACAAAGAAAAACAATTGATAACTGTTCTTGCTACTACTTCCAATTTGCTGATTCTATAAGCTTGACCTACTTACAGGCTTTATCCAACGAATGACCAACTTTATTGAACCTCTATGAATAATTTTGAAGTTCTTAGGAATGATAAGAATCGCATCACAGTAGAACAATGAACCACGTTATGACGAACGTTTCTTTTGTAAAGCCAGCACATGCAGAACGATTATTAAATTTCTACGAAATTATATTCTATTATTATTACCATTTATTATTATCATTACTATTATCGATTATCATTATTACGCAACGTGACCGTATGATAATGTTATACCCTAAATATTTTCGAATTCGAAACCTCGAACTTCTACCATAGATGTCCTTCTACCGAACGCACGACTGGAACCATCGCGGTGGCCTTTCTTATAGGGCTAACCCTATTTCCGAAACCTTTTCAATTTTTTCCATGAACCTAAGGACACTATCATCCAAGTACCTATAATAGGACAGCTCTGTTACATGGTCGTCCATTAACAGTTGCGTAATTAAGTAATAGGATACTACGGTAATGCCAAGCTTCATAGAGTTTCTAAAATTGACGAGGACATTACGTTTGACGTATTAACCTCTACGTAACAGTATTGACAGTACTAAGCATTGCCCCGATACTGAGATAAAACATCACGGCAAACGATATTAGGTGGGAAAAAACCAGCTAATAGACATTTGCGGTTGAATAGGAACGGTGAAATCATCGGTACACCGGAACAATTTGTTCAACGTACAAAGTATGGGTGTACAATAGAGGAGATGATGCTCGGTATCGCGAGTCATAAATCCGGGCAATAACATTGAGAAAAACTAATTATTTAAGATACCGTGTATCTGTACGATACATAAACAAAGGAGTTCACTCACCGAGGGGTAAGTCACAAAGGAGGCAACAGGCCGCGATAGCACCAGCCGATGCACCGCTAATCTTATCCAAGAGTAAGTGCGGAGCGTATTTCTTGAAGCACACCGCCACACCGACGTGGTAAATGCCAAGGAAGCCACATCCAGCGAACGATAAATTCATTTCGAAATTCTTTAGCGCGCGCTATGCTGTTTACCGTTCTTTTATTTATACGGATTGTCAAAGAATACTTGTTAGAATAAATTCGCGAGGGAAACGAGGAAGGGAAATACTGTGGTCCCCTTTCTGCGGCACTATGAACACATTACTCGTCGGGGGAAATCGCTTGCGACGACGTACTTGTCGCGACGTCCGAGTTCGAACTATTGTTAGTCCTTCATGGGCAACAAGTCTTCCCAAACTCTGAAGACTAATCTCGAGTCCGATTGAAAAAAAATACATGTTACAAACAGCCTACGAGATAATATACGTTTGATGACGCGAGGTTTGTAAATACTTACTAAACCGTCGATTGGCTGACGGTGATGGTGTGGTGATCGCTCCGCCCATTTCCAGCGTTCTTAAACTCATTCATTGTATAATAAAGCTTCAGGTGCACGTGCTTTTTTCTGATAAACCGATCGAACTGTCAGATGTGTTTATAGTTTAACACGTTTCATTAAATAGCCAGGATAATTCGATGGAAGATTGTACGATTTGCGATAATGTAAGTGTAACCATCGTATACGGCTTGTATTTGTTTTTTAGAGAAATTTTGAATTTATGATTCAACGACTGTCAGTTACGAATAATTAATTTAAATTTTATTAGCGTCACTTTTGTAAACTCAACCATTACTTCGAATCAACGTAAAAATACATAAATAGTTTACACCTGGTTAAGCAAATCACAGGATGGTTTAGTGTAGAATGGTCAACATAATTTATAATTTTAAATAAATAATTGTATAATTATATAATTTTGAATATTTGATAAGAAGCCAGGTGTTAATTAAATGTTCGCAGTTTTTGTAATAAGCAAGCACTATTTTGTTGGTTAGTGTATTTTAAACTCGTAGTGATTGCTAATTTTATATTAATCGACTTTGGTATTAATAGTAAAGTTTTATCTGTACAATATTTTTTTTCGATACACACTCTATTTATAGAGAATTTTCTATTAACATTTTCGAAACTTCAAAGAATACAGAACACATGTGTATCTTGACAAAACAGTCGAGATTATTGGTCGATGATTCGAAGTCTGTTTGGGATTGGTTGCTTTTGTAAATGACAGTTACAGTGAAGTGATCTGTTTTCAGTATATAAATCGCATTGTATGTTACAAATTTATTTACACCATAGATTACTAATTTGGCGAACATACTCCTTGCAGCTTGCATATTTATGAATTTCTAATTCTAAGGATTAAATCTAACCTTGAATATACTGTGTATTTTATACCATTTCGATTCTTTGAAAACATACTTTGTAATACATCGGAGAATATTGTTTTATTTGATACTACAAATGATAATTTATCAAATGACTTAAAAGCAAATTTTAAACTGTAAGTTAAACTTCTTCCAACAAATTTTTGAGTAACCGATATTCCTAATATAAAAGAAGTACGAAAAATATAAGTGAAACGTTTAAAATACCATATAGAAAATTTTAAACATTACATTGAATGTACGTAATTTTGTGACACGTTGCGTTTTGACACATAACCAATAAATGTCTCTACGAATTAAAATATAATTTGAATTGGAACAAAGTCACAATGAATGAAAACGAACAAATGCCACAAACATTGCATGTGTCTTGTGGCAATTCTAATGCATCAAACGAACAAGTTTTTCATGCTGTTTATATACCTGAGAAAAATGTCATAACAGAAAATAACATGAAAGGTAATTATTATATTTGAATATTGTTTTGTATGTTTGAACATTTTAATCATGTGTACTTATATGCCCATAGACAATGTTCGAGTTTATCTGGATAAAGCAGAAGCATTGAAAATAATTAAAGAGTTCAAAACTGGTCGTCTGAAATCGTTTAAGAAACGCTCAGAAGCTGAAGAATATGCTAAGAATGGTTTTGAAAAAGTACCATGTAATAATAATTCTTCCACACCTACAGCAGTACCTGTAATAGAGGAAAAATCAAATAACTTTAAAGCTCCGAGATCACAGGATCTGGTAAGCTTTAGAAAGTTAATTAAGGATGGTGATTTAAATGCTGTGAAAACTACTATATGGGAAAATCCACGGTACTTAATTGGTAGTGGAGATACACCTGCAATTTTACAAGTAACACATTATATTTATTGTTATTGTACTTAAATCTTTAATAGCTATGGATATGTTATGAAACACGTTTTTAATATTTTATAGGAAGGGTGTCGTTACAATGCATTGCATATTGCAGTCAGAGCAGATAAACCAGACATGTGTGAGTTAATATTAAACACTGTTGGAAATGCTGAATTCATAAAGTTACTTTATGGTGATGAGTGCAAGAGTTATGTGGATCGTGCACAAATCATGTTAGATTTGTATTTAAATACACCAGATAAAGGACTGAATGAAACGCCGTTACATTTTGCAGTTAAATTTGGTTTGAAAGATGTAGTCAAAGTTCTCGTTTCATATCCGTGTTGTGTAAAAACATTACCAAACAAGTATAAACAGCTACCAATAGATGTACGTGATAAACTATTTAAAAATTTGAATCAAAGAATAGATACAATAAAATTCAGTGTCCTTTGTTTACAATGCTTTTAGTATTCTCTCTATATTCTTGTAATAGTATTTATTAATTCTGTGTGAAAGTATTCATTAACTTACACATTCGTTAATATTACAGATAATATGTAGCAGAATATATCAAAAAGCTGAAGAATTGAAAAAAGAGATACGTTTTTTATTAGAAGATCAGTATTACGTACCTGTACTAAGATCCGAAGACAATACGTTACAACCCGTTATTGGTGAACCTTTTTCTCCAACTAGCCCACTGGTATGTGAATGTATTAAACTTTCGCGTCATGGAAATTCATAAACAACGTTTATTTTACAGAATATACAGACGGATCCAATAAGTCCACGTTTAGAAGTACGTGCATTTGCAGGACCAATGACTAAATCTTGTGCAGTAGAATTTAGAAAAAAATGGAAAACGCCTACACGTCTTCGGATGACTCCAGTTAAAAGAATTACTGAAGATGAATTTAATTTCGTCAGCCCTATTAATAATTTATCCTTAAGGTTACAAGATACAGAAAAGGGACTTGAACGAGTTGGAAGGTATATATCATTGTTAATTTTATACTAATATGTTTAGTTACTCTTATAAATTTAAAGCACTGTTTTTGAATTAAATAAAAATTGAAGTTCAGTACATTATTTTCAGAGACTTGGCGGAAGAATATCAAGTATCATGGAAAGAATTTTGGCCATTT